GTAATTCTGGCTGTGTCTCACAGGACTCCAGGGTTTTCAGGATCACATTTCTGGATACCCAGCCGGAGGCATTGGTCAGCACTGGGGTTTTGCACACCCTGCTGCTCTGGGTGCTGTCACAGGGGAAAACACATGGGCATGTAAAGACAAACGGACACAGGGGCCGACAGTCTCCTCTGACGGAGTGTGACCTGGGTACGGGAGTGTCAGTCACTTAGAGCAACCAAGTCGACTCCTCTCCTGGACAGGAAGCCCTTGCTCGCAGGGGTGGTCCAGCAAGCGGTATGGGGCGGGCATTAGTAGGGGTCAGGGGCCGAAGTGCCGTGAAACTCCCCATAAAACACTCTCGCTGGCCAAGCGGGAGCAGCCCTGGAGGGGAGGTGGGCGGGCACCGTGGCAGCGGTTTGCCCGCAACCTTCCTCACCTCCCCCGTGTTTTCTGCAGCCGGGCAGCTGTCGACGGACGACCTGAATTCCCTCATTGCTCACGCCCATCGGCGCATCGACCAGTTAAACAAGGAGCTGGCAGAGCAGCGCGTGAGGGAGCAGCAGCACATCGAGTCGGCCCTGGAGAAGCAGAAACTGGAAGATAAAAAAGCATTTGAGGCAGCCGTGGCCAAGGCGCTGGAGCGTCACAAGAGTGAGATTGAAACGGCACAGGAGAAGAAGGTAACGGGCCGTTCGCTCTGGCTCCAAAGGGGTGTGGAGGAGCTGGAAAAGCAAAACCGGGGTGTTCCAAGTGATGGGAGACCGATAGGGCAATCCCCGGCTGTGCGTGGAAAGGAGATGCTGAGGAAGGAAACGTGAGCGACGTTAGAATGGTAACATCGGTGAAAATGCAGCAAAATGGGGAACGACTTCTTCATGTTTCCCGGCTGCTGCGGGCGATGGGTTTGCTGGCTCCAAACACGTGTGATCTGACCCAGTGTGCCCATCCTAGGGTTACGCAGTCCCTCTGTCCTGCCGCCGGGAGCTTGCTCCGTGTTCTGCTCTTTGCCGGTGGGTTGGGATTTGATTTCTTTCCAAAGGACGATGCCAGGCCCTCAGAATCTCAGTGCTGGTTCGGACACCAGGCAAGTGCAGATGGCAGGTGTAGGAATGTGGGCAGCCGGGGCTTTACCTTCCGAGATGCCGTACTGCAGATGGACGCGTGCCAGATCCTCCTGCTGTTCCCACCCCCCTGCCTCTGGAAGTGACGTCCAACACTGGCCCTCACTCAGCCGGCAATTCCGCACTGGCGGGAGGGAGGCTGAGGCTTTCACCAGCGGCCTGTTTGTTCAAAGCACTGCGGTGAGGGCGCTAATTTAGAGCTCTCTTTAGGTTGATCTGTCATCTTTGTGTGTAAGGGAGGGTTGGGAACGACACAACCCTCTTCATTAAAAACCAGAAAAGGCAAAAAGCTGTTCAGCGGCTCCTAAATAAACCTGCGCTCTCGGAAGTGGCTGTCTTGCCCAAGATCAGGTAAAAAGGGATGTTACTGTTACATTAAACCATGTCCGACGCAGTATTTACAGCACGTAGGGAAAAGGTAAAGCCTGTTTGGTTTGGAAGGTGCTTTGCAGCCTCCTGAGACAGTGAGCACGCTGGTGTCTCTCTTCTCTACAGCATCTGGATAACCGCCAGGTACTGGCACTGGAGCTGTTCCTCCAAGTCCTTAGGAAAGGGTTCAGCTGTAAGAACAGACCTTGACAGTTCAGATGAAACAGGGGCTCTGTGTGTGCAGGTCGAAGAGGTCCGAGAGGTGATGGAGAGCGAAATGAGGACCCAGCTCCGGCGCCAGGCTGCGGCCCACACAGACCATCTGAGAGATGTCCTGAAGATCCAGGAGCAGGAACTAAAAGTGGAATTTGAGCAGGTAAGGGAGAAGAGCCTGAACTGCGGGCTGGGTCGGGAAGCCTGCTCACCTTGAAGAGATGAAATAAAGTGCCTGGACCCGGGGGTGTGTTTTATTCAAAGAATCACAGACGGGTTTGGGTGGGAAGGACCTTAGAGACCATCCAGTTCCAACCCCCCTGCCATGGGCAGGGACACCTTCCACTAGACCAGGTTGCTCAAAGCCTCATCCAGCCTGGCCTTGAACCCTTCCAGGGATGGAGCATCCACAGCTTCTCTGGGCAACCTGTTCCAGTGCCTCACCACCCTCTCCAGGAAGAACTTCTTCCTGATATCCAATATAACCCTTCCCGCTTTCAATTTAAACCCGTTCCCCCTTGTCCTGTCACTACAGGCCCTTATAAAAAGTCCCCCCCAGCTTCCTTGTAGCCCCTTCAGGTACTGGAAGGTGCTATAAGGTCTTCAGACTTGTCTTTAAAAGTTTTGCTGCAGGTGAGAAATTACAGACAGTTACGAGTGCGGTAACTTAAATTCTGCCCAGTACGGTTTCTTACTGGTACATTGTGTTTACTATATATGCTGTCCTGAGCAAGAACAAGGGTTTTCTAGAAATCTATCTTAAAAAATAAGTTAAATAAGATATATCAGAGCAGAAAACACTGTTCTGTCGCTTTGTTTCAGAACTTATCAGAGAAACTCAGCGAACAAGAAATGCAGTTCCGACGCCTCACGCAGGAGCAGCTCGACAACTTCACGCTGGATATCAACACGGCCTACGCCAGGCTGAAAGGGATCGAGCAGGCAGTCGAGAGTGAGCACGGGGGCTGAAGGCGCGATCCCCCAAGGCCCGTTACCCAAACCCGGGTGCCTCAGGCCAGGGGGCACGTAGCTCAGGGGCCCGGGTGTGCTGGACGCCGAGCAGCCAGCGAAGCCCAGCTGCACGAGCCCGAGGCGCTCGGCTTGGTCCGACCCTGAACAGCAGGACAGACCTGCTTTGAGATCGAGCACCGAGGGGGCGGCCACGTGCGAGAGCAGGGTGTTCAGAGGCACGGCTTATGCTGCTGGGGTTCAAAACTCGCCCCGACCACGCGCACCCCACTGAGAGGCCTCTTCTCGGGTTGTTTTGCAGGTCATGCCGTAGCAGAAGAGGAAGCCCGGAAGGCCCATCAGCTGTGGCTGTCCGTGGAAGCGCTCCGATACTGCATGAGGACGGCCTCTGGGGACAGTCCCACGGAACCGCTGGAGAGCGCGGTGAAGGCCATCAAGGCCAGCTGTTCCGACAATGCCTTCACAGAAGCCTTAACAGCCGCTCTCCCCAGGGAGTCCCTGACGCGGGGAGTGTACAGCGAAGAGGCCCTCAGAGCACGTTTCTACACGGTCCAAAAACTGGCCAAACGCGTGGCTATGATCGATGAAACGAGAAACAGCTTGTACCAGTACTTCCTGTCCTACTTGCAGTCGCTGCTGGTCTTTCACCCTCAGCAGCTGAAGCCGCCCACCGAGCTCAGCCCCGCCGACCTCGACACGTTTAAGCTACTGTCTTACGCGGCGTACTGCGTCGAGCGCGGCGACCTGGAGCTGGCAGCTAAGTTCGTCAACCAGCTGAGAGGCGAGTCCAGGCGCGTGGCACACGACTGGCTGGCCGAAGCTCGCACCACCCTAGAAACCAAACAGATCGTGGAGATCTTGACGGCGTATGCCAGCGCCGTGGGGTTAGGCACAACTCAAGTGCAGTGAGCTGGGACGGCAATCCAGCAAGAGTTTGTGCCGGAAGGAAATCCTGTGGGATTTCTTTTCCCCGAGGGTTGCAAACCGAGCTGCTGGGGCAGGGGCTGGAAGCGCTAGATCAAAGCACGGGTACCGCCTCGTCTCCTCGCACTGTATTTAACTTCACCCCGTTGTACTTGTGTTGGGTTTGAGTTACCATGACGACCAACTTCGGGAAGCTTCTCTACAACTGGTGTAAGAATTTTGTTTCCCCATCTGACCAGGCGGGTTCGTGATCCAACCAAAACCATGTCTGTACCCTGCCCTTAATGATTTGCCACTTGATCAGCTGAATAAAACGAGACTTCAACCACTTTCTCCTCCTGTTCAGTCTCCTGTTTAACCATCAGCTACCGCTGGGCAGCACAACAGCCTCTCTCCCTGGCCTGGAGGAGTTAACACTCACCTGGTTTACTCCTCTCAAGGAGCACGATTTCACTGATGTGATCATGGAATCACAGGCTGCTTTGGGCTGGAAGGGACCTTAAAGACCATCTAGTTCCAACCCCCCTGCCATGGGCAGGGACACCTTGCACTAGACCAGGTTGCTCAAAGCCTCATCCAGCCTGGCCTTGAACACTTCCAGGGATGGGGCATCCACAGCTTCTCTGGGCAACCTGTGCCAGTGCCTCCCCAGCCTCTCCGGGAAGAACTTCTTCCTGATATCTAATCTAAACCTCCCCACTTTCAATTTAAACCCGTTACCCCTTGTCCTGTCAGCTTGATCCTGCAGCTGCAGGAAGATCCCTCTACACGTACCGGGTTACGCAGGCAGAACCCCAGTGGTGTCAGAGCACGTATTCCCGTGGGCTTTACCCCGGTACGCTGCTGGTCAGACCGCTCTGGGGTAGTTTTCAACCAGGTATTTCTGTCTCAAAGCCAGGCTTTGGCTCAGCCATGAGAGCTCACATCAAGACCAGGATCCACCCTTCCTTCCTTCCTTCTCTTACCTTTCCCGCAATTCTTGCCGTCAGTCAGGAAAGACTGATCCAACTTGGGCAGTACCCACTTGCTGCAGTGAGTGGCTGCAGCTTTGTCTGCTGGCTGGTCTGGTTTTAAACTGCCCAAGAGGGTATCCCCACCCCCACAGGCCCCTGATCACTGAAGCGTTAGCCCTGCGCTCCTGGAGCAGGCACACGTGCCTCTGGAGCAGACCTTGCCTTCAGGCAGCTTTACTCCCACCCCTTCCGTATCCCGAGGAACACATGACTTTATTTGCCTTTCAGCTGTGGTTTGTTCTACCTCTGGAGCTGGAGTTCCGCAACTCCGTTCCTGAATGATCCCGCAGCTGCTCTCTGCTGCTGAAGAGCTCTGGTCCTGCAGCATCAAACACATCAAGGGCTCGCTTTTCACAAAGCAAAGCAGCTGTTAACTCCTCACTACGCTGTGGTTTAGTTCTCTCCTCCTCTGCCTGGTCCAGAGAACCACCTCAAAATCCCTTCAGGCTTCCTCCAGACGGAGGACGGCCGCACAGTGCTGCGAGGCCAGTTATCGGCAAGGCAAGGGGACAGCCCAGTCATCATCTTCCCAGCCACCTCGCTGCCTTTACTGCCCAGAGCGGCAGCACTTCGCCATCAACAGCTTTTGCCCAGGGATTACCGGAATACGGCCCCGTTTTACGTCAGCCGTTTATTAGATGCCGTCTCCAGCTGTACAAACTGCAGCTTTTTAACATCTACAGTCCAGAGGCTGTTCCAAAACAGCTAAAGGGATGAGGAGCGACACCACAGGTGACAAGTACTGCATCACTTACAGCCTTCACACACAGAGTGAACATCGTACTGAAGTAGTTCGTTAAAGTCAGCTGGAAAAGAACTGAATCCAGCGCAGGCTGACGCGGCAGAAGAGACATCTCGCTCAGCTGAGAAGGTCTGGTACCGGAAGCAGCCCTGCTCTCGCTGTAGCCCTCCCGTACCTCAGCCCAGGCTGCAGCAGCCAGGTGTGAGCTACGTCACGCAGGCAGCGGTGCGGGACGGACTTGGTGTAGCCCACACGGTGTCTGAAGTCACCAGGAATATTAAAGAGGAGAGTTTCTGGCTTGCTCCAGAGAGGACAATGTGCTCGTGCCAAGCTGGTCCCGTATGGGAATGCTCGGGAGTGCTCAGCAGCACCTCACAGAAGCCGTCCCGCCGTTGATTTCACTTCTCTCAGACTCCTCCAGGCAGCCCAGCAGCGGTTGCTCCCAGTTTTCCAGAGGGGAAGGCAAAAGGGACAGCTAGTCACGGTCACTGTCACTGTCGCTGTCGCTGTCACTGTCTGACTTGATACTCTCCAGTGTCTTCCTGCAGATGGAACACAGTCCAGTCATCAGCCACCAGACTGCGGCTTTTGCTTGAAAAGAGACAGCCAAAACACAGGGTAACCCCCTCCAAAGGGAACACCATGGGCTGTCCAATGCCTGTTCTCAAAGAACAGGTCCCTCACCCCTTGGGAGAAGCACACCTTCTGCAGGCTACTTCAGCTGCCCAGGAAGTGGTGTGCCAGCTCTCAAGGGTTCTGGACTTCATTTATCCCTCCCCTTGGGCCAAACTGTGGTGCTCACGGCGCAGCCCACCACCTCAGCTTGACGCATCAGCTCAGAACGGAACCGTGGCGGCTGGCTGGGTGCGCCAAAGGTAGACCACGGGTCTCAGAACCCGTGAAACACATGCAGGGCCGTCCTGTACCACTTCCTACTTTTCCTTGCCTGAAGTGAGCGTCTTTTAGGTGGGCAGACCCAGCTGGGAAGGGATTCTGTGAAGGAAAGGCCACAGCAAGATCTGAGCAGTGGATAAGGCTAACCCCATCACGGAAAGGTGCCTTCCCTCCCAGGTGGGATGGATACAGCATGGATCAAAACCGAGGGGTTATTTTGGGGGTGTGAAAGGACCAGAGTCAAGACAAAGGTACATCGCTCTGAGAGCCAGCTCTCTGACGCCTTGGTGGGGGAGCCTTTCCATGGGAACTGCCCCTCTGACACCCTGCCCGCTACACTCCTTCAGCAGTATCACGGAGTACGCCTACTTACTTCTGCGTTTCAGAGAGTTCAAATTCCTTTTCCGTTCTGCTTCTGAGCTTTTCGGATGAAGGCAGGCCGAGAGTCGCTGCCAGCTTTACCAGCCTGATTGCGTCGTCCGGGCAGTTGGTTTGTTTGGCACAGTTCAGCAGCTCCTCCATCACCTGGTCACTGCAAAAGCCACAGCAAAGTGTTCGTGGGGCCCCAGGGCTGTTAACTACAGCGGGTGCTTTGGAGAGGGAGAGGGGGCGACAGGCTTCCAGATGCCTGAGCCGTCCCAATCCTGCTCCTGTTGAAGCAATTAGGAATTAGGAGGCC